AATCGAATATCGAAATTTTTCCGTCTACTAGGGACCCGTGTCCCTAGTAGTAGAGCCATCTCTACAAACTGCTTATTTTTTTTAAACGTTTAAACGTTATGCTTTTTTTTAAAAATAGCGTGCTTTTTTAAACGTTTTTTCCACTTAAACGCTTTTTAGTTTGAAGCTAACAAAATCGTTTAGAAAACGTTTGAGCGCATAGACTTTTACGTTAAAAAAGCTTGCAACGTTGTGTTGATAGCGAAAAGCAAAAGTAGATCACTAAAGGTTTTATGATAAGTAAGTTTTTTTTGTGAAAAACGAGTTATATTTTTATTTATGAGTTAACATTTTTATATTAACATTTTGTTCATTAGCATTTAAAAGCAACACAAAACATAAGTTGTTTAACTTTGTAGTTGTTAACCGTTGAAATGGAAAAAACTGCTTATTTTTTAACGTTAAAACGTACGTTTAAAAAGCGTGCTTGTAAAAGCGCTTTTCACACGCGTTTTAGTTTGACACTTAAAAAGTCGTTTAGAAAAAAACGCATATACCAACGATTACGCTTTAAATGAAAAGCGTGCTTATTTTAAAAAGCAGACTTTTTAAGTGCTTTTCGTTTAAAGGCCCACCTCTACCTAGTAGTAGACATGGGGAATAGCGTTACATTTCTATCGCCGTGACTGTCGTTCCGGTTCCAAAAAATCACGGCGATAAATCACCGTGATTTTGTCACGACTGTTACTTCCGTCACCTTGTCACGCCTATAACTTACATCACGATATACGGTTTTAGCCAGCGGCTTCTTTTTAATACTTATAGCCATTTTTTATAGAATGATTTAAGTTTTTACTCCCTTTGTAATAAGTTTCAATTCCACTCAAAAAGTTGATTTTGTATTTAATGTAATTTTGTTTGTTACTTATTTAATGCGAATCTTTGGATTGTTAAAAATAGCAATAAAGTGTAATGTAATTATATTTCTAGTAGAATACACAAAGTAGATTATACATAAATATAAAATACCAACTCTTCCTATAACAAAACAAATATACAAAAATATGTTACTTTGTTAATAAATAGGTTTATAGTAACTGCTGCAGATTTTTTTCATCCGCCCTTTCTAGTTGTAATAAGCACCTACGACCTTTGTGAGTGAGCAAAGAAAGTCATCCTATCTCACTCACTCCCATCGCCGAAATGGCCCGATTTGAAGAGAACTGCAACGAGTGGCGCGCTCAGTCACCACGGAACGGAGATCGCGCATTGTATCAAATACGCATGTCGTGATGTGAGTGACGGGGATAGCCATTGGAACAGAGGAACACCTATGTGACTTTGGAACGTCGTTCCTTCGGAACGAGTCACGGTGATACTGTTTGACGGCGGATCATCGTGATGATTTTTTCATCGTGACATTATTTATCACCCACCTCTACCTAGTAGACGCTAAAAAAATTTTAACGTCAAAACAAATGAGAGGTTAATAACTTTTGCTGATTTTTAAAATATTTCAAACAGTATAAATAATTGCCAATAACTAGTGTGCGATTAATAAAGTTAATTTACAATTAAGATGTCGAATAATTCTTTGAGTCAGGCTCCTAACATGCCTACTATAGGAACGATTAATCAAGGTGGTATTCAGTACGTGAACAATCCGCTCCAGAGTCCTCAGTTGCAAAGTACGTCGTTGCAAGGGTCGCCATCGCAGCATAGTCCAATGGGTACACAGTCGCAGGTTGGCGCCAAAGTAAATACGAGCGGTGGGGGAGACCAAACAACGCAGCTTTTGAGTCGACCTAGATTGCAAGAGTTAGTACGTGAAGTAGACCCTACAGTACAACTAGACGAAGAGGTTGAAGAGATGTTACTTCAAATAGCTGATGATTTTATTGATTCAACTTTGAACTCATCATGTGCATTGGCAAAACACAGACATGCTCCTACTGTCGAGTTAAGGGACGTACAATTGCACTTAGAAAGACAATACAATATGTGGATACCAGGTTTCGGTAATGACGAGTTGCGGCCGTACAAGAGAGCGGCTGTAACTGAGGCACATAAGCAGCGCATGGCTCTCATAAGGAAGACTATTAAGAAATACTAAACCTGTTACTATTTTAGTGTTCACATCATTAACCTAGTAACAAATGGACGTCGGGTTCGCACTAAAAAGTGTCCGCACCTATAGGGCGTTAAAATCGCATACAGAGCGTCAATCACGCAGCAGTCTTCGTTTGTTCGACTGACAGTGCGGTTGTTAATCATGCAGTACTATATAATAATAATTTGTAAAAATTACTGCAGTAAAGTGTAAAAACAGGATTTCGTGTCATATTTTCACTAAACAAATATATTGTGTTATCATAGTTGTCATTTAAAAGTATTATTTTGTACAGTTTAAATTAAATACTATAGTATTAAATACTACAGTATTTAATTTATGTATAAATGAATCGTAAATGTAAATTACAAAAGCAAACAAAATAATTAAATAGCCAACTGTCCTTTTTCTATACATTGCATGCGCAAAAGATGGAAAATGACCCATTTCGTCAATCGTCGAACCACAAGCGATTGACATATTGAGGGTCGTAATCCAGAACTCTACTCAATACTCAAGTCAGAACTTGAGTATTGCAGTGAGCATGGAAAATCATACTCAAATCCTTGCCATTTGGGTCGTATTTCCAGTGCTTGAAATCATACTCAAGTCTGCTTAAATCCTGACTTGAGCATTGAGTAGAGTTTAGGAATACGACCCTTAGAACAAGGAACTTATAGAGTCGCTTTCATTTTAATCTTATTTTTTAAATTATTTTTTATTAAACGTTAGCAATAACTAACAAAATATTGTTGTACTCATTTTACGGCTTGGGATTACCTATCACAAGTCAGAAAATACATTTGCCCGAAATAATGTTAGCTCGAATTTTCATAATGTCAAATGCATTTTTTTAGGAATATTACAAAACAAAAGCTAATTTTGTCTTTGTGAAAAGCATCAAAATTACTTGAAAGCGTTACGGTTTTATTATAAATTGGTTGTCGGAATTACGGATAATTGAGTTTATGTTTAGTTGAAATATAGGTATATTTATTTTCACATTTGTAATATTTGTTTGTATGTATCTGCCCAACTCTTTATTATTTCTTTAAGTGAATTTGTACAAAATTAAACATAATGATATATATAAAAATTTATCAATATTTACAATAAAGGCTACTCCATTACTCATATGTTCAAGTAATTTCCAGTTGAAGCTAAATATGGCGTTTTTGGGCCCTTACATTGTTGCAGGCAAAATTAGGCAGTACTGCAATGATGTTATAGTTTAATTTAAACATTTTAGTTTTTTATATTTCGTTACATGTTACTATGTTTGTTAGGTTAATTTCAGACATTTTTTTTGTGGTTTTTGTATTAGACCTGACATCCATTTGTTGGTAGGTCAATGGTTCACATAGACCACATGGATATAATGTATTCAGCTGTGAAAATTTGTGATTCAAAAGTAATAACATTGCGTAATGAATTTAATATGAAATGTGTGTATTGAGTGTTCAGTTGACACATCTACACAGTTTGTAATTTTTATATTTCAATTAAATCTCAAACATATAATAAGTGCAAAAAATACTGAAGACTTAATTATTGCACTTGGAAGAAATATATCATATTTATTAATAATTCATGTTTCTTTTTCTTTCCCTTTTAAACTGGTAACCTAGTGTCAACTTAAGTTGTCTAGTTTCACGTACGCACTGAGGGAGATAAAGAAAACGACTGACCTAATAACTGCAATGGCCGCTTATTATGCTTACACTCATTCCCACTTAAGTTACGGAATTATCCTTTGGGGAAATAGTGTGCACGCACGAGGAATATTTACAATCCTAAAAAAAAAGATGCATCCGTATTCTTGGTAATTTGAGGAGTACTGATAGCTGCAGATCGCACTTTAAACAATTTCAAATTTTGACTTAGTGTTCTATATATACCTAGTCAGGTCATAAATTCTGTCACATGTTTAATATAAAATAATTGAAACAAGTTTATTCATTATGTAACCATTTATATACCAAAATGAACTTAACAAAACATAGATTCTTATGACACTAAAGTTTATTCAAAATGACCTCCGTGATTTTGAATACAGGCTTTCAATCTGCGCGGCCAGTTGTCTATCGCAGCACGAACGAGGTCCATGTCAATATCGGCGGCTGCCTTAATCAAGGATGTCTTGAGTGACTCCAAATTGGGATGAGGCTTTGAGCACGCCTTTTCCTCCAAGTGTTGCCATATCTTGTAAT